AGAATTTTTAAATGATCAAAGAAGAAAACTGTTTAGAAAACAAAAATAAATAGTGATTTCCCCCAACACACACCCAAGTTACCTCTCCATCACTGTCAAGCCTTTCTTTTTACTATAAAACAAATCAACACAGGCAAGTGGAAATAGTCTAGTAGTTTATCACAGTTTCATACATCAGGATTCTTTGAAAGCCAGTATATTCAGGTTTAACTCCAGCTCTTTTTCTTTTCTGTGAGGTTGTTTTATAATAAATAAACTCTGTAAACATTTTCTTTCCCAAGTGCCTCTCCTCAAGTATCTTTCCTAATGGTATTAGGCCCCAATTTGGCTAATAGGCAATGCTAACTCTCATTTAATTTAATATGCAAGGCTAGGTATGAAAGCCCTGATAAAGTAATAGGGGTCATTTAAGGAAAACACCCAAGAAATGAGCTTCTTACATATACTTGGCGAGATTTGGAAACACCATTGTTAGGAAATTCCTGAAACTTTTCTCCCCTGGGTTATCGGAGTCCAAGACAATTGATGACATTACATCGGTCGTTCATTTTAGCTTCGTGGAGCCCACAAAAATCAATAGTTTTCCATTATCAGGTCCAGCTGGGTCACTAGTCTGTCAATGAGCTGTTACAATTGCTGTACAGGGGTGAGCCTGACCAGTCAATTTGCTGCTGACAAGAGGAAAACATGCTGACAGCCACGGGAACAAGTCAGAACACAGATTTGCACTTCAGTTGGCCATTCAAAGAGACTCAGAGCAAGGCCATTTTCAAGACACAGGGCATACTCCCTGGGAGGCCTGAGGAAGGGGACACACACCCCACCCCGTTTTTACAGCACAAGTACCTAAGGGCCTGTCCTGGCTCCAGCCAACCATCTCTTTTAGAGACTATCCATAGTCACTGCCTTCGTTAATAAGAGGGCATGTAGCAGCCAGTTATCCTTAAAACATCTTCTATCTCACATTGTACCCAGAGAAGGTGTAAGAGGGAGGAATTCTACTTTTACTACCATCAGCTCAGATATAACTATGTATATCTTGGAGAATATAAAAACTTAAAGAGGAGGTAAATGGTCCAAGGCACCAAATATGAACAAATGTGACTAAACATGTTGCAAATAAGTATTGACTGAAGGACAAAAGGTCCTTTGGTGTTGGCATGTAGGCTGTTCCCTTGTTGCCTCATTATTTATAACATTATCTGTACTTTCATCTCAACTTGAGATATTTTACTAAACCAAGTGTCCCTCGCTGGTGTCTTATCCACAGCTGCTCTGTCCGATGCAGTGAGTATCAAGGGGAACTGAGTTCTAGTCCTGCCCAGCCCATAATTAGAAGGTATCGAGTAGTGAGTTTGGACACATATCTTAACTGCTCTACATTAATAAAATGGAGACATGATTGCCTTACCTACTGAGGTCACAGGTTGTCATAAGATTCAAAATGAGATCAGTTGAGAAAGAGCTCTGTTCAAGTAAGTGACTGTGGTGTTTGTGTGTGTGTGTGCGCGTGTGTGTGTATTTGTGTGTTTCTTGCTCTCTGGAAGCTACCCATGCAGCAAGAAGTTTAGAAGCAACTGAAAAAAAAAGTATTCCTTTCTCCAGAATAATTCTTTTTTGGTCTAGACTAAATCCTTTCCTTCATTAGGTGAATATATGAATAATCTATCATGTATTCCATTGTAATGAAAACCAAAATTTCAAGGACAGTACTAAAGTCTTAATGGCTTTTGTGGCCCTCCTTAGCTTATAGAGAAGAGGATTGAGATGCTAGCAGTGAAGACACACACTATCTGGATTCCTGCATGCTGAGGGACTCCAAAGCAACAGGAATTTGTGCAGTGCTCTGGTCTCCTCATGCTAGTTTTATCTCAGACATCAAACTTAAGAGCTTAAAAGATAAATATTTTGAATTTGTTTCAATATTATGATTTTTAATGTTTTACTTTTATTAACATCTTCCAAGTTTTAAATTCTAGCCCCTTTTTTTAATGCCTCCAGTTTTGGGGTGATTCTTTTAGAAGTCAACATTCACTTGTGTTCCATCATCAAACAAAACTGGTAATCGACTATATTACTGGAAGCCAACTAGCTAGGGTTGTCATTTTTTTTTTCTTACACCACCAAAGAAAACATTTTCTTTAAATGAGTTAAAAATAAAGTAGTTTTAACAAGAGCAAATCTGCTAGTAATTAGATGAACCAGACTTATGTCTTCCAGCGCTTAGAAGCATGAAATTCATCAGAACTCTAATATCATTAATTAAAAAGAATTTATGTTTTTTTAATAAAATACTTCATGTTTTAGCTCCTTTATTCTTCCACCAAATGTGATTATGTGGGGGCTGAAGGGAATTCAGGTTAATATGTTGACACACTTAACAATGCAGGGTCATGTTGCACAATACGCTTCACTGGTTTAGTTCAGTACACCCCCTGACAGGGCCTAATCATTCCCTGCCCTTAAGAGAGGATTTTAATTACTGCTCTGTATGCAAGTTTGCCAGCATTAAATTGAGACATAATTAGGCCTCTGAATTTTAATAATTGTCCTAGCTAATTGGGCAGACAAGTACGTTATGCAGCATGGCGTGATTAGATAATTAGTATTTCCAAATGACAAAATTGGGCTCTTGATTACAAATTCTACATGAAGGGGGAAAAAGGTAGCAAGGAGATCTTTACAAGTCTATTAAGGGAAAGTTTAGCAATGTTGATAATTTACAGTCCATTAGGAAGCAACATTTCATTCTCAGAGCTAGGGGTCTGGGACAAGGGCCTCTGGCCAACTCTGTCTTCCACTTAAGGTTCCCCCTCCAACCCCCACCCAGGTTCTCTGCTTTCTCTGAGTCTGCTGCATCTACCCTCCCCCTTTCCCCATGCTTAGCAGTCACCACTGACCGTGGGTAAGATCTTTAACTAGACACCAGATGGCAGGTGGTAGCTCTGAAAAAGAAATCAAAAGACATAGGAAGGGTAGAACAGAAAAGGGTAATCTATCCAGGTTGGGGTATAAGTATCTCTTGTGTCTTTCCCTTGCAAACAGCTGTTCTTTAATTCTTCTCCTAGAATTCACTACTTTGATTGTATCATCAGCTCCACTAAAATCTTTTTGGTGGAAAATCTTAGATAGACATCTTAAATTTGGAGGTATTATTTTGTTGGTGTGAAGAGCTTGGGTATTGGAGACTGATCTGGGTTTGAGATTATCACTAGGAGTGTGACCTTTGTTAAGTTACTTAATCTTGATAAATCTCAGTTTTCTTATTGGCAAAATGAAGAACCTTCCCACATAAGATTATTGATAGGATTCAATAAAGTAATGCATGTAATACAAAGCGCAGTGCCTGGCATGGAGTAACTGTTCAATAAATATTAGCTATTCAATGCAAATAAAATCAATAATGTTGGAAGGTACAGTATGAAGGTGCAGGGTCTGGCTCTTTGCTATGCCAGTACTCAAATGAGGCAAGCGTCAGTAAACCCTTTGCCTTCTGAGAGAACAACATGGTGCCCATTTCTGCTGTGGGAAGCCCAATGGCAATAGCTGCCCTACAGTTCAAATACCCAACCAGATTTTCTTTCTCTCCATTCTTCACAGGTTGGCATTGCAGACAAAACCTGCCATGCAGAAATCATGGGGGCAGTTAACCTAAGAAGTTTGTGGTGTAAACTCTGCATCTTACCCCCTACACCTTGTGACTCACTCTCCACAAATATCAGTTTATTGCCCATAGAGGCATACTTCTGGCTGCTAAACTTTTCTCACAATTAATAATCAGTAGGCTGGGCTCTAGAGCTATGATTTTCAGGCAAAAGGAATATTAACTGGATACAAACCAGAAACCATCTAAAAATGATTTATAGGTGATTGGTGGATGTCACTGTGATGATAGGGAAAACTCAGAAGTTCTGGATATATATTCATGACCATTGAGAATGACTAAAAGGAAGAAAAAACAAACAATGTCTCCATGGCTTGGTCCAGTCAAGACAGCCTACCAGACTGGAAGAGAATTTCTTATGACTTTCTCAGAACTTTGTGCCATCTCATCTATGTATGATGGAAGCATTCTGGCAGAGATTCCAATTCAGAACGCACCGTTCTCTCCATGGGTAAACTATATATCACCCTGGAATAATCTACAGTACATAATACCTAAATAGCAGAGGGAGGGGGAGAACACCCTGAGACCCAAGAAAGAACAGAAACTTAAGTATAGAATCCAAACATTTTGCTGGAAGCTTAGATGCATAGAGTAAGATATTATTCTTCGGGATAGGAATGAAGAAAGACAGAGTGAGTGATCCTTACGCCTGATCTGTATTTACACAGTAAGAAAACCTCTCCTCTTGGGGAGGCGAGTCTGGCTTGCCGTTGTTCACAAGGACGCTGCTCATGGAGTCACACGCGTGGCCAAAAGAGTCATTGCAGAGTTCTCACCCTCACTGCACTTTCCAAAGTTGCCAAGGGGAAACATCACCCTCGGCGAGAGGGCGGGAAAGGTAATAACTGTCATTGGGATTTTTTTCTCCCTGCCACACAATGCTGGAGCTTTTCTCCCTCTTTATGAAGAAATGCGTTTATGACTGGTCGCTCAACACCTTGTTGGTTTTGACTGCAGAAAACACACCTTATAAATATACGATAACTATCCTGTAATAGAGAGTGTGACAATTTACTTCACAGTGCGATTCGGGCTGCTAATTGATCGTTTCAGTCCAGAGACGATTCGGAATAAATTATAGCCATCAGGATATCACAGCTCATTTTGGTGGAAGGATCTCCTCGTCGTTTGGCGTTGTCTCTGGGAAAGCCGATTATACCCAGAGGGCTGAGAGTAGAGGAGGGAGCCGGCAGGAGAAAAAGTGGCCGAGGGGCGGGGCTGGCGGGACGAGATAGCGTCGATTACAACTACACCAGTATCTTCTCTCCATTTTTATTTAGTTTTTGTCGGGGTGGGGGGGGGGGGCTTTATTTTTTATTCACTTCATACTGCCGGACGGTAGGGGCCTCCCTTCTGAAGAGGCGGTGCGGGCGCTATCCGCTGGGGCTGCGCTCCGCGGCGTGAGTCTGCGCGTCCTTCCCCGCGAGGTCCCTTCGCGGCCCGGCCTAGTGTGAGTATTCCCCACCCGCTCTCCTCCTCCTGCAGGCGGCAGCGCCCGTTCATTTGAGGTGAGAGTCTCCCTCGGGCCGCGGGCCCTGCGTAGGGGCGGGGGTGCTCGCGTGCGCGGGATCTCGCCTGGCGCTTGAGGCTTCCCGCCGCGGGAGCGGACGTGGTAACGCGGCGCGCTGCTGTCTGAGCTCCGGAAGCGGGAGTAGCAAGGCGCGGAGGCACCGCGGCCCTGTGGGAGTTTTGTGTGCAGATGAGCCCCCGCGGTCCGGGGGACTCTGGTTCTCACGCCGCAGTTGGGGAGGGGGCTTGTGGAGAGACCCAGCCTCGGAGGGAACTTGCCCACAGCAAACCCCAGGGGAGGGCGAGGAGAGAGCGGGCCGGCTGGGCTTCGTCGTCAGGTGCTGCCGGGTCGCCCGGACGCGGGGTCGCGTGGGCGGCGGGTCACGCGATGTGGAATCAGGGAGAACGGCGGTCTGAAAGCGGTGACGAGAACGCCACCCCGGAGCCGGGAACGCTTCGCGAGGCCGAGCCAGCAGACCCGATCCTGACCCACCCATCTGTCGGGTCTGGTTCCCCAGCCCGCCTCAGGGACTGTCGCGCCCTCCAGCCCCTCGCCTCTGTCATTTCCAAGCAAAGTGTGTGCCATTGAGTGATGGTCATGGAAAAGAGACACCCAAAGGCTTCTCCCTGAACGGGATTCGAATTAAAAAATATATATATATATATATATATATATGTGTGTGTGTGTGTGTGTGTGTGTTTTTTCTACTCCTGAGGCGGGCGCTTGCCTGTTTGCCCCCTTTCCACCCACGTGACCTCCGTGCAACTTTCATTCCCTTCTTAAGTTAAAGCTTAAGAAGGCTTGAGGCCCTTCAGCTCACACATAGCATAGCTCCCTATCCCGATTGCTTAAAGTCGTGTCTCGCAAACTGTTCTTAGTTTTTTAGTCCTCTGTCACGCTAATACATTATATCAATCTAGGGCACGGATGTTTCTGTGCAGGCGATTTTGACAGCAATCATCATACCAAGCTATTATGAAGTGTGATGTCAGTGCGTTCTGGAGGATGGATAATATATAAGCCCCTTCTTGACACGCTATCTTGCAAGGAAACATTTGAGACCATCAGTAAGAGGCATTTTAATTCACACACCAAAAATATTTTGTTTGGTTGACATCTTTCAAAATGCTGAAAGAGGTAGTAGCATTTATCATTTTGTAGGTATTTATCAGTACTCGCAAAAGTCCCCATAGGAAGGAGGAGGGTTTTGTCTTATTCCTGTTCTATCAGATACACTGAGGAACAGAGATGTTATGTGACCTACCAAATAGTCTTATAGTAAGTCAGTGAGAGAGCTCTGATATCAGACCAAACATACTGGAATAATTGGAAAACTGAGGAAACTAGGTATGTTTATACTTCTATTGTGAAAGATAGTCATCTGCTAGCTTAAATAAGAAAACATGCTTTTAGTACAAGTACTGGATGTGTGAAATGATGAATTTATCTCAGGTATGGAAGTCAGGTAATTTTCTGTAGAACTTTAGTCTTAATGATTACTACTGACTCATGGGTATTAAAGTTTAATTATATCAGGAGTCACTTGAAACCAATGATTAAATTCAAAACTATGGCTAGGGCCCTAATGAATGAATTCTAAGATCTAAAGTAATCCAAATCTAAGCAGATGCTTTAGACTTGATATTATATAAGAGTTAGAAGTTATATTTACAGAGACCAAATCCTGTGGGGGTTAATTTTACAATGGATTTCCTATATGTTGACCCAACATATGGTTTTCTTTTCCTCCATACATTAATTCAGTAAGCATTTATTCATTACCTATTATAGATCCTCCACTTCACTTTGAGATTGAACATGATCCCTACAGGCATTTAATAAATAATTCTTTAAAATGCAACTAAAACTAGATCCAAGAAACCCAAGGAATATTATTATGAAGGATTTAAAAACTATAGCCTTTGATTGTACAAATGGAAAGTTTTAGTGACTACTCTCAAGTAGTAAGTTAAGGGGAGGAAATAAATTAGAAATCAGTTTTTGCCAGCCTGTGCCCTGTTCACAGTACCATGTTTTCTTCCCTTTAAAACGTAAACACAAAGTTTAAAGGAGTTACGCGATTGAAGAGATTTATGATATTCTTTTAATTATTTTAGAATATAAAGTTTTCCTAAAATGATCTTATTCTTTATATGGTGTACTGGACTCTGGTTTTTATGTGAGTGGAAATGCTATATTTTTAGTTAAAATCAAAACCACATTATTTTCTTTTTTTCTCCCAAGCTGAAGTAAGAATTGCCTGCCATTAAATTAAGCAAACAAAACATATCCCAAGTAGTCACAAGTACACCTGGCCAAAATTCATTGGTTTAATACAAATAGAAAAACGTGGCCAATATGTTTATCCCAGTTATATGTACTTCTGATTTTTTTCTTGGATAATGCTTGAAATCATTCACAGCAATGCCTAGATCCTTGAATAAAAACATTTTTTTGTGTGCGTGAAATCTGTAAGATGTGCCTAAAGAATGTAAAATTTTTGAAGTATAATAATAGAAATGAAGATGTTAAGAGTAATTTATCCTTAATCCTAATGTACTGTAGGGCTGAAACTATATACTCAAGATATGACTATACATTAATATAGTATATATATAGTCAACTATAGTCAAATGTATAGCAACAAATATGTTCATGTCTTTCACCCCAGATTTAGGCTGGATGTAGAGATTAACAAAGTTTGAACTGAGATAAAAAGAACATCCTTATTTCAACCAGTCATAAGATCTGGAACTTTGAGTTCTACCTGCTTTGATGAACTTGGTTATTGCTCAGAAATTAGGGAAGGGGACCTGCTGAGCCCTGGATACAGGTTTACAAATCTAACTAAAGGAATAGTAAACAAGATGGACCAATTCCAGATCTTTTCTGGGGAAAGACCCTGGACTTTGTCCATTACGTAGACAAAACAGCTCCAAAATTTTATGTTACCAAGTACAAGGGAGTATCAGGTACCCAGCAAACTCTCAATAAATGATGATAGTTGTGGAAAAACAAGTGACAGTGATGTTAGCCTTTCTTTTGAAATGGATAGCCTAACCATCGTGCCTGCTCATCTTCTGTAGATTTAAGAACTATCCAAATATTTCTTAATTTGAATCTAAATATTAAATTTTGTATATAGTGTTTATAGCTTCAGGACTGGAGTAGGAGTTCTTAGTATGTCTCAGTTATTTGTAATAGAAGTTTGGTTAGTGTAGCTGGAAGCCCATCTCTTCAGATAAAGAGGAATTTCCTGGTTTTAGATTTACAACATTCACATGTGGAGCCAGAATTTAGAAAAGATTGGAAATAACCCTGAGAACTGGGAAGTATCATGTGGTAGAAAGAATCCTGGACCAGGGATGGAGACTAGGTTTATCATGTACCGAATGGATTACTTGAGGCAAATTTTACTTTCCTCATAGGCAAAATGTATGTACTAGTGTGTACCACTACTAGTATGTACATTGCCAATGGGTCAGCTTGAAAGGGTGATTTTGAGCCTCATCCGAGATGAAGTGAATGGAAGGATTTGGTTTAGTAAGTGCTGTGCATGTACAAGGATTTTGTGTGCCACAACACAAGTTTTATGGATGAAAGTAAGAGTCAGAGTCCTTGAGCTGTCCAGATATTTAAACCAAAATGTAAATGAAGCTAGAAACCCCACTTTGGGAACTTGGGAGTATAGACTCGTTTTAGCATGGGTACTAGAGACAAGTGATAATTTAATCATTATTGCTCCTTTCTCAGACTCATGAGAGGTACCCTGTTGCCATGCAAGAAATTTTTTTTTTTTAAAACACTTCCTAAAGACCTGTTGGCTATAAAGAAACCTGCTAGCTCACTTAATACCATCAAGTTCCAGATCTTCAGCACTTGTGCCAAAGGGACAATCTCCATGTGGGGGGAAAGTAGACTTCTAGGCCTTGATTCTTATACTCTCAGAAGTTCTTTCCGTAGAGATTCATTAATCTCATACCACTTTTGTGTCTTAGAAGAGAACAAGAAGCTGGCTGGAGTTTCATATATTGGTTTAATTGGTCAGCTGTGAACATTTTTTGCAATTGTTATTCTTACCACAGCAGCAACCCATTTTTGCTGCAGAGACAGCAAGACCTCCCTCCAACTCCCTTTGCAGGCCATTTTAAAAAATTAACACCTGTGTCTTTTATTTTCTCCTACTTTCCTCTATATAAAAGGTACAGAGGCTGCTGTGGCAAGGGCACTGTATCCCTCTTTCCCACAGAAACACCAGTACAGATATAGCATCATTGGTTCCTACTAACATGAGGCATGGCTCCTAGAGAGAAGGGGATGATGGATGGGTTGGTCTGGGATATTATGGAATGATATACACTCATCCTTTCTTCTGTTCAGTTTCAGAATCTGCCCTACTGAGGAGTAAAAACAGTGCCCTTTGTCTAAAGACATTGTTACCAGGTTGCTTTCTGGAGTTTTGTTGAGTATCCTCCACACGATAACACTTTATAAATTCACATTGCGTGAAGCATAGTGTATTTGAATCAGTACAGTATATTGGCCAAAGAAAAGGGGCATTCAGTTCAGACAATCTGTTTGAATATCAGATCATCTACTTGCTGAGTGGCTTGGGCAAGTTTCTTTATCTCTCTGAGCCTCAATTTCTTTATCTGCAAAATGACAATAATAATAGTATCTACTATTAAGGATTGTTGTGCATGAAGTGTGTGCTTAACAAATGTGAGCTATATTATTAGGCTCTGGAGAGTGAGAAATACAAGGCAAATTCCCATTTTCAAGGAACTTACAGTATAATTGGAAGGGAATTATACTGTAAGGCAGAGAATGGGAGTGCCAACTATGTGCTGCAGATAGTAAAGCAATCTGCCAGTGACTAGGATGATGGTGAAAGGTTTCAAGATAGAGGTGGGAATTTCTCTCTGGGATTTGTAAGCTGAGTGGGATTCAGATATACATAGTAGAGCTGAAAGGCATCCCAGATGGCAAAGGGAAGGA